AAAAAAAAAAAAAAAAAAAAAAAAAAAAAAAAAAAAAAAAAAAAAAACAAGAGCCCAGGACCTGACAGATTCCCTGGGGAATTCTACCAAACTTTCAAAGAAGAAATAACACCTATTCTCCTGAAGCTGTTTCAAAAAATTGAAGCAGAAGGAAAAGGCTTCCAGACTCTTTCTATGAAGCCAGCATTACCCAAACCAGGCAAAGACCCTACCAGAAAGGAAAATTTTAGACCAATATCCTTGATGAATATGCATGCTAAGATTCTCAACAAGATCCTAGCAAACAGGATCCAACAGCACATTCAAAAGATTATCCACCATGACCAGGTGGGATTCATTCCTGGGGTACAAGGATGGTTCAACATTCGCAAATCAATCAATATGATAGAACAAATCAATAAGAGAAGAGAGAAGAAGCACATGGTTCTCTCAATTGATGCAGAAAAAGCATTTGACAAAATCTAGCATCCATTCCTGATTAAAACGCTTCAAAGGATAGGGATAGAGGGAACATTCCTGAACTTCATAAAAATCTATCTATGAAAGACCCACAGCAAATATCCTCCTCAATGGGAAAAAGCTTGCAGCTTTCCCATTGAGATCAGCAACAACACAAGGATGACCACTCTCACCACTCTTGTTCAACATAGCATTAGAAGTCCTAGCAACAGCAATCAGACAACAAAGAGAAATAAAAGGTATCCAAATTGACAAGGAAGAAGTCAAACTCTCTCTCTTCGCAGATGACATGATTCTTTTTATGGAAAACCCAAAAGACTCCACCCCCAAACTACTAGAACTCATAAAGCAATTCAGCAATGTGGCAGGATACAAAGTCAATGTACAGAAATCAGTGGCTTTCTTATACACTAACAATGAAAATACAGAAAGGGAAATTAGAGAATCGATTCCATTTACTATAGCACCAAAAACCGTAAGATACCTGGGAATAAACCTAACCAAAGAAGAACTGAGAAGGAAGTACTCAGAGAGAGAAGGAACTGTACTCTAGGAACTATAGAACACTCGAGGAACTACAGAACACTCATGAAAGAAATTGAAGAAGACACAAATAATTTGAAACACTGATGATGTTTTAAAAATAAAAACAGAGAGAGAGAGAGAGAAAATAACTTATGGGCATCTAATAACAAAGGCCAATCAGAATAGCAATCAAATATATGAAGTTTGTTGAACCTGAAGGACACTTTAAGACAACAAGAAACATCTCCATCACCAGCAGCCTGGGGTAAAAATTACAGAACTGTTGCATATTTTTTTGAACAAACAATGTTGAATTAATTAATCAACAATGTTTAAACTGATTTTATTTTAAATATCTCATTTATTCATCTGAGAGACAGAGAAAGCATAAGCAGGTGGACAGGCAGAGTGAAAGGGAGAAGCTGACTGTCTCCTGAGCTGAAAGACCTCTGTGGGGCTGGATCCCAGAACCTTGAGATCATGACTGAGCTGAAGGCAGATTCTTAACCATCTGAGCCACCCAGGTACCAGTGGTTAAAACTTTTAAACTGGTAGCCAAGGGGTTACTGTGAATTTGTGGGCGGGAAGTAAGTGTTACAAGGTTGAAGGCAGGGTTTCTCTGTCTCTGCACATGGACATTCTGGCCAGAGCCTGACCTAGGGTGAGGTGTGTCCTGTGCATTGTAGGATGTTTAGATATTCCTGTCCTCCATGAACCCTTCTCCAGTGTGATAGGC